TCAGTGTCCGAATTGAACAGTTGGGCGAGTACGGCATCCAACATGCCCACAGCTCCCTCTCGTCATTATCCGAGTCAGTGTCGCTGAGCGCCGTGTACAACCAGTATGGATCAACCAATTAACCAATTGATCCATATATAAGGCGCTCCGGATTATAAGGCGCACTGTCGTTTTTTGAGAAAATTAAAGGCTTTTAAGTGCGCCTTATAGTGCGGAAAATACGGTACAAAATATAGAATAATGTAAACAGTGTAAAGTGTCCAGGGTGTCAAAGTGCACATATCAAACATGCACATTTCATCTGAAATGTTTCACTCATTGAGAATCTTTGTTGTGGAAAATGTTTAGAATCTTCTTCTCTGACGGATCACGCTGCAGCAGCTGTTTCAGACTTTTTAAAATAACTATACAGGAAAAGTGATGATCATGTTTTGCAGTTTGAGGTCATCAAGAGACATCAGCATTCCTTCAGCTCACAGGAGCTGTGAGATTATTAAGATGGCGTCTGTTCTTCACTCTTTTTCTGCATCCTTGCTGTTTGTTTTTTTTTTTGCTCGACATCCAGTAGCAGAAGACATCATGTCTCTCTGCGATCACTTGTATAAACCAAATAAAAAAACAAACCCCATACCCTCTGGAGTTAGACAAGTCTGACGGTTCTCCTCCTGTCAGCAGTGTCTCTCTCTCTCTCTCTCTCTCTCTTTCTTTCTCGTGCGCTGGAAAACCAATCGAGCGCCTGATGGAGCTGAGTGTAAATATGAGGAAGAGAGTCAGGTTTACTCAGAGCACACACAGCCTGACTGCAGCAGGAGAGCAGAGGCTGAATCTGCAGAGAGGACAAACAGGTCTGGGGGGGGGGGAGAGAGAGAGAGGTCTGTCCTGTTTTCTCATCAGTGTGTGGTCCTTCTGCTCTTTGTCCTGCAGCGAGCGTCCTGTTCTGCCCTCTGTTTGGAGGACATGTCAGGACTCCTGGACTCAGTTTGTCCGTCTCACTCTGTCAGACTGGACTGAACATTAAACCTCCTTTTTTAGGCAGTATTTAGCCGGCTTTTGCTGAACAGGTCTGCATCCTCTACTGACTCTTTTAAGTCCCTTCTAAAGACATATTTCTATATTTTAGCATTTGAGTCCTCTGGTCCTGAGTAGACGGTTCTTTCAGATCCCAGTTATTGCTTTCATCATCTCTCCTATTTATTCTATCGTATTTTATTTTGTGTTTCTTGTACATGTTGTAATCCCCTGTAAACTGTTTCTTTGATGCATCGTACAGCACTTTGGTCAGCTGCTTCTGTTTTTGTGACTTGACTTGTGTGCTGCAACAAGCCAGGATCTAGTATTTTATTTTTGAGATAAAACAAAATGCATTCATCAGAAAGGTTAGCGGTGCTTTGTCAGTGATCTCATCCTTTTTTCTGTTGAGTGGATCTGACTCTGCAAAAGATTGAAAACTCCTCCAGAGAAAGCTGCCAAAGGAAGCTCTTAAATGATGTCCTGGACAGTAGTTGAAGTATCAAGTCGGGGCGAGACAATGCATGAATACAGCAAGAAATATTACTATACATGCACCAGTCCTTTCCACTCATACGCTGACACATTGAATACTTCCAGAACTGATATAGAGGCAAAAAGTGTCAGACTCGATCTGACCTTTCATCTTGGATCCGCAGTATCTTTTTTTTTTCTGCTGAGACTCCCCCCCCCTCCCGTCCGACAGGAAGAACTTCATGATGTGGAGGACATTTGTGAATAGAAAACTCAGGAAGATTTCAGGAGCAGCCTGTCCTGAAATCTTCATGAGAGGAGTGCATGTGACATTTTTTCAAACATTTGAAGGTGGGAAGACGATGCAGCCGCAGCGCTCTGAACACAAACATCCATAACATTCATCAGCGTCGGAACTGATTCTCTTTTTATAGCTTCTATGTCCTCCAGCTTTATATCGGGAAAAAGATGACATGCAAATAAACACATGTTTGTTCGAGCACGGCATGCATCATGCGTTAAAAACACGCCTCGTTTTTTATTCCCTGCATGGTTTGCACAGCTCTGCAGGAATAATAGTGCATGCAGAGCTTCAGCTCGGACATCCCTCATATGTATGCGTGTGTGTGCGTGCGTGTGTGGTAAACGCTCCTTGTCCAAACACGGCATCGCGGCTCGGCTCTGACCTCGAGTCGCTCTGCATGCAGCCTTCCCATTATCCTGCACAGAGAAAGGTCATTATTATTCATAACGGGCTGATTGCTTTCTTAAACAAACACGACGCCGAGCGAGCAGAAGAGTCTGAAGAAAAAACCTCCTCTCACCTCACAGCCGCTCGGAGCCTTTGTTTGACGGGAATGAACATTTTACTTTCAGATTTCCGTGCCTCTCCATAGAACAACATATACTGTATGTATTCTTTTTTTTGTCTTTGTGGCCTGTTATCAAAATTTACAATGTTTTTTTCCTGACTGAAATATTTGAACCTAAAGCTCCTTGTCTTTAAAGCACTGCTGACAGGACTGATCAGACTGAATATCTCACCTTTTTTCTGGAGGGGTTGTTATGAACTCACTTCTACTTGAAGTGATCCTTTGACTTCTTCCTCCAGCGCCACCTTGGGAAGTGGGAAATGGACTTTAGCTTGTACCGCACTTTTCTAGTCCTCTGACTCCTCAAAGCTCTTTTACGCCGCAGGTCACACCTACACATTCACACACTGATGGTAGAGGCTGACAAATCCATTCATACACCACCAACAAAGCAGCAGGAGCAACTTGGGGTTAAGTGTCTTGCTCAAGGACACATCTGACCAAATTGTTGCAGGAGCTGGGGATCGAACCCCCTAATCTTCCAGTTGAGAGACGACCCACTCTACCACTGAGCCACAGCAGCCAGGGGATTGTTTTGGTGAAAGGATTCATGTTGCCCCTTCTGGATGAGTTTGAATTGAATTGTCAGGATTAGCTGGCTGATGTATGCTAAGCTACCCAAATTATACCCACATTATTTTATTCCCCTGCCACCTGGTTTCATATAAACAGTGACCCTAAAAGGCCAAGTGTATGGAGGACCCTCTACAGATTTCATTTAACAAGATCGATACACTTGTGTTGGATCGTTAGCGTCCCTCAGCCTGCCTTCGATCAGCTTTTGGAGCGGACTGAAAAAAAAAGCTTGTTGACTATTTATTATTGGAGTCAAATTAGCCTCCTGTCTTTTCTGGCATCTGGACTCCGTTGCAGGTCCTGACATGGCCACTAGGGCTGTGCTCAAAAGATCGATAAGGCAACACACATGTCATGCGCTCCTTGCAAATACATGTATCGATGCAGATGTTACAGAATGGATACGGCTGCAGAGCTGTGATGACGGTTTTGAAAGATATTTGACCGATGGTGCAGTTCACAATAACACCTTCACCTTCACCACAGCTTTCAAATTAAAATATTTTCAAGGCTATCTGAGGAGCTGAAGTGAAGTGTTTTAAGTTATAGGATCGCCTCTAATGTTATTCTCAACAACAAAGAACAGCTGTTGTAGTGACTTCCTGGTAGGACATGGTCATTATTCAAAATCAATGTTTATCACGATCGTATCGCATCGTTGGGTTCTGGGAAACACCCGGCCCTAATGGTTACACACAGTCGGACATTACCGGCCTATAACGGTTACGTTCAATTACTTTAACATTTCTAAACAAAAGGGCTCAGACGTAGGAGGCTTATTGCTCATCATGTTAAATGTAAGGATGCATGTAATCATTTTTGTTCATCATTGGATCTGGGAGGGGGAGGGGCTTGTGGACAAGCAGAGGGTGGAGCCACACAGTCTCATGACGTCTCTCCTCATCTCTCTCTTTTTGTATAGTTTTGGATTAACCTGCATCTGTTTTTTTGTTCATTTTTGTTTAAGTAAACATTTAATCGTGTGGTCCTGGCTACTTCTTCATTCAGTGGATAACTACACCTACGATTTGAGGACGAGGGGACTACATGATGAAATATGTATTAAAGTCATGTTAATAAAGGTGAGTGTTTCGTTGAGAAATGGCTTATCATTGCTTAAATCTGGAATTTGGTTGGGGCCTCGGTAACCTCAAATCAACATCACAATGAATTGAACATTTGAGCTCGGTTACGAATATTTCTGTTTTTGTTTTTTGCCCTCATAGTTCTCTGACATGGTCTCTACTGTAAATAAGCTCAGATATTAAAGCTGGGTTTGTTTCCTAATGAAAGAGTGAATATCTGATGAAAGATTTTAGGGTTATTTATTGAATATTTCAAACTGAAATCACAGCATGGCTTGAAATTAAAAATTTTAAAACACATTTTAGTTTAGAAAGTAGAAATGAACTTCTCTAAAATTGTAAAAAAAAAAATATATATATATCTTGCATTTTTTTTGCAAACAGTTTTTTCTTCAGTGTTTGAATTTGTCTTCTTTTTTGTTCGGTGTCGTCTTCCCTAAAGACAAAATGTGTCCAAACGACGGACATTGCTTCCAGGACTCTTTCCTGAAAATAATCAAAATAATCGACATGGGAAAGAGGTTGTAAATGTCGGTTTCTATTAATTTCCTACCCCTAGCAGAAAGCCTCCCCCTTCCCCTCCCCTCATATATAAAACACCATGTGACACCTTAGTGAAGATGCTGATTAACTGCTGCCTTCAGCGTGACTCTGTTAATGTGATTTAAGAGGAAACACTTCACCCTCTTACCCTCATTGTTTGTCGTCTTATCTACCGCTGCGTTCGTGTTTGTGTGACCCTGCAGACCCTGCTCCAATGAGGAGCCTGAAGGCCGACGGCAGAGTTCTTCATCCCGCCTTCTTCGAGCCTCTGCTGCAGCTTCATGGTCGCTTTAAAAACACGCGTTGGTGTGAGGCGTTGAAAAAAAACACAAACGAGGTTTTGTATAAAGATTTAATCAGTTGCACACTTGAACACTTAAAAGGACAAATTATGAGAAGTGGAAAATTTACTACACTGTAAAAAAAAAAGTCAGGTGTTATTTCAGGTGTTCATGACGGTTCTGCTGTAAACTCCGCGGTAGTAGCCGCCATCGCTGTGACCGGGGTCCAGGCCCGCTCTGCCCGCCACGAGCGCCCCGGACACCGGGCAGGAGTAACCTCCGTACTGACCCACCGCCGGCTCCGACATGAGGTTGTTGATGGAGAAGGGGTGGCTGAAGGAGTACTGGTGGTGGGGTTGATGAGGGTGGGGGTAATGGTAGGGGTCCGGTTTCAGGTGCGAGGCGTCGTGCAGCAGCAGGGGGTGATGGTGGGAGTAGAGGTGCTGCGTGTGAGCGAGGGGGGAGGGCACGCGCGCGGGGCTGGGCGGGCACAGTTTGTGATGGTGGACGGTTGTCTTGACGTCGGAGGGCGGAGGGGAGGAGGGGGAGGGGGGGGAGGCGGAGTGAGGTGAGGAGGAGTGGGGGGAGTCTGGGACGGTGCCGCCGGATGTCACCGAGCCGCCGCCGCCGCCCTCCTTCTTCCTCCCCGCCTCCTCCCCGCCGCCCCCTGCCGCGGCCCTCTTCCCCATCTTGAAGCGCTTCTGTCTGCGCAGGTAGCACCCGTTCTCGAACATGTTCCCGGAGTCCGGGTGCAGCGCCCAGAAGGAGCCCTTCCCCGGTTTGTCCGGCAGGCGGGGCACCTTGATGAAGCAGTCGTTGAAGGAGAGCGAGTGTCGGATGGAGTTCTGCCACCGCTGTTGGTTCTGCCGGTAGAACGGGAACAGGTCCATGATCCACTGGTAGATCTCGTTCAGCGTCAGCATCTTGCTTCCCGATTGCTGTATCGCCATGGTGATGAGGGAGATGTAGGAGTACGGGGGCTTCGCGTGCGTGTAGCTCCTCCTGTACGGCGGTTTGGGCTCCCTGGGTGCGACCCCGCAGGCCGCTCCGTACACCGGGCTCAGCATCTGGATGTTCCCATAAGAAGGCGGGCTCAGCTGGCTCACCAGGCCGGTCATCCCGGATCCGGCCCCGGGGCTCTGCGACACCCCGCCGGGCATCGGGGAGTGGCTGACCCCGGCCTGGGTCATGTAATGAGCGTTCATGTGTCCGCTGCTGGTCATGCCCGGCGCGCTCATGTAGCCGCTCATAGAGTTCATGGACAGACCGGCGCTCAGGCTGCTGACGGCGGGGAAACACTGAAACACAACACGGGGGGAACAAGTTTTCAAACCTGAAGTCATGAAATGATAAAAGAACTCCTCTCCTTATTTCAGAAATAAACTTTAATCTTAATTTGAAACATGCCTGAGAGAAAAACAGATGAAGTCAAACAAACAAACAAAAAACAATGAATATAAATATTTACCAAAATCTATGAATGAATCTGTGGATCTCTTCCTGATCTGATTGATTATTTGATTTGATTTGTCCACACAATTTTTTTTTTAAATGTGGTTTTCCTCCCTCGTTTAAAAAAATAATGATCCTGTCCACATGCTGACTTTGACAAGCTGAAATGTTCTCTCCATTCCTGCGCAACGACCATTTCATTTTACAAAAGTGTCCATTCAGGCGCCTCCACTAGTTTGTCTACGTCTGCTATCGCACTGATGTCGTGTAAACTACAGTGACAGCGAGGCCGCAGGAGAATCGGCGCACAGCGTGACCTTACAGAAACAAGACTTCACATCAGAACTCCTTAAACTGAGTTTCTGAAAATCTTCACCCTGGAAGGAGTTTTACAAACAGTGCGTATTTAAAAATACCCGCCTTACATGAGGACACTAGGCCAGAGTTTGACCTCAAAGGCTTTATATGTGATTTTTTGATCCAGCAGATGTCTCCCTTGAGCTCCAGCATGAAACCAAAACAACTCGCGCTGCATTGTTGTGTTAGCATGCTAATGCTAGCGATCTTTATTATGCTGGTATCTTCACACTGCATGTAAATTTAGCTGAAATGAGCGTGATCTAGAAACACAGTTAAACAGTGAGTACAGTATGTTATTCTTCTTTTCTCCAGTCCCTCAATTAAACAACTTTTATACACGAGGGGAGGAGTCAGCCGGCCGTCCAGGCGATGTAAACAAAGTGAAGATAGGACTCTGAAAACTCTGAAAACATCACAGACAGTGGGACTCGGGTGTTACACCCATTGTAGACAGTCATGACTCACAGAGTTATTTTCAGAGGATAGACTTGATTTATATTTAAGTGTGAAAAATCACATAAAGACTTTAAATGTCGTCACGTCAAACGCTCAGCGGACGCCTCCACATGGAGTTCTTAAACCCAAACATCTTCAGTTTTTGCGCTCATGAAAAAATATTTATAAGAGATAATTGTCACGTTTTAGGAGAAGTGAAGAGGTAGTAGAATATTTGTTGTGACCCTATGAATGAATACTAAAAAAACAAAAACAAAGAGAGAGAGGGAGAGAGGAGCCAGAGGTCAGATTTGAACCTGGAACCAAAGCCTCTGTACATCGGGACACTACACTAACCGCCAGGTTACCAACTGGAATCAGGAATTCAGTTTTTATGATTATAATTATACAAACATTTCTAATTGTTTTAACATTATTTTATTGTATTTTACAAACATTTTTTTGTGTGTTTTAATTTATTGTCTCTTCTTATTTTGATCATCCCTCTTTTATTTTATCACTTTGTTACTGAACTCTTAAAAATGTTTAAAATCGTCTTGGAATCTTTTTTTTTAAATTATTTTTAAGATTTGCTTTTGAGCGTTTTGTGTCTTTAATGGAGAGAGACAGTGGATAGAGTTGGAAATCAGAGAGAGAGAGAGAGAGAGAGAGAGAGAGAGTGAGGAATGACATGTGGGAAAAGGAGGTACAGGCTGGATTTGAACCTGGGCCGCCCGCTTAGGGGAATACAGCTCTAAAGCTTCTGGAGCTGTATGAGAAGGTCGGTCGGCCTTCTCTTGAAGAGAGGAGCAGCTAATTTTGTTTTTTGATTATTTTCAAGTCTCTTATTGGTGAACTTCCACCTCACATCTCAGACCTGTTGGAGTGGAATTCAGGCGCCTTCATGACCCGTTCTTAAAAGTCCCTCCAGCTGTCACTGAACTCTGTAAATCTACATTTTCTGTTGATGCCCTCCAGCAAACTCTAAGAATCAGCGCTCTTCCCTCACTTGCAGAGTTTAAGAATTTGATTTCCAGCCGCTTTTTGTTTCAAATTGAAACTGTGTGTAATGGATCTCAGGTGTCTGTCACTGATTCTTGTGGGGTTTTTTTGCTCGTTTTAATGCGCTTGTAATCTCGATGGCGTTGGAAACCTCAGCGTCCTTTTGAGGATAAATGAAGGTTTGAAACTTGGAGCGAGTTGCTCTCATTGGATGATTTTAAGAGGAGGTTAACTGAACTGGAGGGGGACACATCTGGCTGCAGATGTTCTCCCCGATGTGTGTGTGTGGACGATCTTGACAAACGTTTGTTTTTTAGATTTGTTATTTGTGTCTTAGATTTTTAATCTCAGCTTGTTTCTTTCCTGCTTCAATAAAGGACTAACTGATGAAAATGAAAAATAAGGTTTGATTGGACTTTAAAATGCATCAGCCTACATATGTCTCTTCTGAAAAGTTTACGTCTTAATTTCCCAATAAGATGCCTAAAAGTAGTTTTATCACTCAGACAGAGAGAAACTGAATTCTTAAATGTGGACTCTGAAATGTGATAAAAACTAAAACCTCACATTAAAGACGTGACCTGAGCTGACTGATTTGATCCGATCGCTGTTCATAAGAAATGTGAAGAGATTCTGATGCTCCATCTTTAGAATAATAATTAAAGCATGCAGGAGGAGGAGGAGTCGTTCAGGACGATTCTGAGGGCCCGTAACTGCCCACAACCACCGCCGTCCTCATTCATGCACGGCCTGCTCCGACCTCCACCTCAGCGGAGAGGAAGTGAGAACAACAGGAACGAGAGGAACACAAAGGAGAACTCCTTCCTGCATCTTATCGCTAAACAAACAAAGATTGGTTGACAGCGTGCTCATATCAATAACTGTCACTGCTCCTCCTTTACCATTCAGACATCCTCACTGCTGCTGGTGGCCGGCCCCCGATGAGAGCTCTTTATCACGGCGCCCAGAGTTCCTGGCGGCGCCCCTGGCTGCAGGTGTGATCGCTGCATCGCCCTGTTCACCTTTAAGTCGAGCGTTTAGTGGCTTGGGGAGATTTTAAAAACGTGTCTCTCTCTCTCTCTTTTATTTTTTTGCTGAAACTCTGCGCCTGCCCCAGTACGGAGGCTATAGTCCTCCAAGCGTGGGTTCAAATCCGACCTGGGGCTCATTTACCCAGGTTTCTGACCCTGTCCACTATAAAGGCATAAAAGGCCCAAAAATAAACATGAAAAAAAATGTAAGGCCCCGTGCCTTTCACTCAGATCAGCTAATCCTTTATTGACCCTCAGTGTGGAAATTCAAGTGTAGCAGGAGCAAAAAGACGAGAAGAAGAGCGTGCTTATGAGTGCAAATAAAATAAGAATATAGGAATAAAAAAAGCTAAAACATGACATTCAGAGATGTTGTGAGAGTTAGACTTAAAGTGACCGGATATCATTTTGTAACTCGATGTAACACGATTAGAAGCCCCTTCAGTTTGTATTTAGGGTTACTTTGAAAATATAATAACAAAGATCTCTCTCTCTCTCTCTCTTCTCTCTCTCTCTCTCTCTCTCTCTCTCTCTCTCTCTCTCTTTCTCTCTCTCTTCTCTCTCTCAAAATAAGGCTCGCTTTCAAAATAAGAGAAAATCCTTAATTTGTAATTTAAAAAAAAAAATCAATATTGTAATTTTGAGCACATTCAAATATTCTTTCTGGTGTAAATGTAAGATGTTACAGTCTTTCCCATCTTTGCCCAATTTGGGCGCCAGTCCGAATTAAAGGCATTTTATAGACTGATTAAATAAAAGCCTGCTGGGCTACTAATAGAAGTTTTACGGTTTAACATCATACCATAAACTTAAGATCCAATTATGTTTAATTAAATAAGCTGAGAAATTAAATCCCCTTTTATAAATCAGAACAAACTTAGATTAAATTCAGATGAGGAGATTCAGTGCACACGTTCAGAAAGCTGAATGGCTTCTGTTTATTTAATTATACTGAACAAATAGTCCGCATGCATGGCTTCATCACAACGCTGAAGAAACACGTTTGTTTGTTTGTTTGTTTGTTTGAGAATATATTTGAATAAAAAGAAGAAGTCATTCAGCTTTCCTGTGCGCTGAATCTCCTCAGGATGATGTTTTCCTGCCATCCTCTGCACACGGATATAAAGACTGACGGCGCTGTGCAGGTGTATGTGATTTCACCTCCATTTAATTTATCTTTATTTTGCATTCATTTCAACATTTTGAATTTATTATTATTATTATTATAAGAACTTTGATCCCGCAGAGGAACGAAAATATTCCTGTTTCTAAGCAGATTCTGCTGCATTTTCGTTATTTATGGGATGAAAAAAAAGCTTAATCACAGGTTAGTTAATATATAATTAAATTATAAATGATGAGCTGAAGAGATGGTTAAGAAGCCCGTTAATGGAGAGGGGGAGGGATTATAGGCCTACGTCTTCCTCCTCTCCGGACATGCTCATCAAATCTTTGTTTTATTTACCTCTGTTTGTAATTATTACCTATTTTTCTGTCTTTGTGTTCACCTTCTGTCTTGTGTCACATGTCAGGAATAAAACAACTCAAATTAAAATCCAAATAGTTTAGCAGAATTGTTTTTTGTTAGAATAATTTACACCTATAACTCTGTACGAAAAGCCTCCTTAAATATCTTTATATCATCATGCACTGCAGGAAATAACGTTTGCAAATATCAGATAAAATATTTTTATAAAAGATAGTGAGAATAAAAATGTATAGAGTAAGTTTGACAGAATAAAGATTATTTTCATGATTAGATGATTACATAAAATGTGCAGCAAATAGTAATAAAGGTCTATGTATTTTTAAAAATCGTATAAAGTTAACTTGTAATATTTATCTGTTGTTTTGTTCTGCAGGAGAAATGATATCTGATCAATAAATGAATGATCTTTCAGGTCTAACTCTGCGCCTGATAATCAGCGGGGCTCCGCTCACACTGAAGCCGCTGTAGAGTGCACGGACCTCGGTCTCTCCGTAGTAGCTGCCGCCGCTCCACTCCGCGTGTTCGTGTCCCTCCATCTTAACGGCGCTCAGCTGCATCGTGCACGATCCCCCGGTAAACTCATCCACAACACCTGTCCTTCCGGTATAAGTCGTTACCACCGGGACTGCCTCATCGCAGCGGAGCAGCTGCAGACTGAAGAGACCGCGGGCTCTGACACCTGAGCTGCTGCTGCTGCTGCTGCTGCTGCTGGAGGAGCCAGGAACCAATCAGATGTCTCCCTCCATCCCCCCTCGAGATTCATTTGAATATGTAGCTACATATCAGCACGAGCAGCCAGTGTAAACTACACTTTAATAAAAATAAAAAATACAACAAACACTGAATAAACCGATAAAAATACACATTTTACATATTATAAAAGTCAAGTAGCTACAAGGCCTATTAACCCCCAGGCATCAGTTTAATTCACTACCCTCTTAAATCATTAAGGACAAAAATGTCCACTATTAAAATAGTGCAGATTAAAAAAAATGTTCCTGCTTCTAAAGTCTATTTAAAAACTTTTGCCCTGCTCAAAACTACCAAACATTTGATCATTTTGAGGATATTTCATAAAAATTATTAGCATGATGTTATCAACCCGGCATTCAAAGGGTTAAAATCCTCAAAAATGAAATTAATTGAACTATTTTTATAGCATTTTGTTTTTGATAGTGGACATCTTACAAAAAATGGTGCCATGTGCACTAACAGCCGGATAAAGAGGTGAAATTTGCTCAAATGTTATTAAATAGTTGATAATGATGAATGAGGGTTAAACACACTAAAATACTCTAAACGTACAAACTCACATTTAAAACGTGTAACAGCATTTGGCAAAGGATAACATAAAAGCATAAATCCTGCTGTTACAATTAAAAGTGCTGTAAACAAATAAATCAAATAAAGACTAGTTAAAGCTTGTAACAGGCAGTGGCGATTCTAGCGTATAGGGGGCCCTATAGGCAAAAATGAATTGGGGGGCCGTCTCTCCTAAAGATGGTAAAGACTCTTCATTTTACTTTAGTTCACTGCAAAAATGCTGCAGAGCAGCGAGGTTTCCCACTGTCATTAAACACTGCACATTTTGGGGTCACTGCTTTGGTTTAAAGCACTGGTTCCTTTACTGACTGAATCAAATATGAGGATGGGTCGGGATATTGGTGCCACTGCACAGCCAGGTGATGCCCTCTACAACAACTGCATTGTCACAATTAGATTACTGAATTGTCCGCGGGGGGTAATTCACCTTGCGGAAAAAACAATAGTGCCCAAAAAGAAACGGGGGCTTGAAGTATTGATTGCTGTAAATATAGTCTATAAGTTAAAGTTCATAAATCCCTGTAAAAAAAAATAAAATAGTCTATGAATAAGAAAGTACAAACAGGACACTTTCAAAACATTCTGGATGAAGTGAAACTTTCTGCCCACTAAAATTCAGACTTTAACATGTTTGTTCTTTTTTTATTATTATTATTTTTTTAATAGTTTTTTTTAGACTTTAGCAATGTGTTTATTGCAAATGCTCATATTGTGAGTTGTGATGCTGGCTTGCACGGCTGTGGCTCAGTTGGTAGAGTCGGTCATCTCTCAACCGGAGAGTTGTGGGTTCGATCCCCAGCTCCTGCAGCTACATGTCTGATGTGTCCTTGGGCAAGACACTTAACCCCAAGTTGCTCCTGCTGCTTCATTGGCGGTGTGTGAATTAATTACTTACTTCTGATGGACTCTTCACTCAGCAGCCTCTACCATCAGTGTGTGAATGATCTGCAGTGGTCACACCTCGGTGGTATTTCGTTGCATATAAGTAATTCAGCACTTGTGACAGTGAATGCCTCTGTTTCTGTGTCTTATTTGCGTTCCTTACATTTTGTAGGGATGTTGGCACACGGTTTGAGTCAAATAACTGCTGTGTCAAAAGTTCCAGATTAAAAATCAGTTTTTGCTCCCACTCATTTACTGCTTACTGCCGAGGTGCTTACTTGAGCAAGGCACGAACCCCAACTGCTCTGGCTTGCTCCCTGCACAGTAGACCCACTAATGCATGTCCACAGGTCTTGTTTGTATTTCTGGTCTATGTGTGTGTGAGAGTAACATGTCTCTCAATAACAGAGTGTGAACCTTCAGGGATTAATTATATGTTCACAATTTGCCTTTTCTACACACTCGGGGTCTAAAGACTGTCTGGGATCCTCCTCCTCCTTCTCTTCTTCTTCTGTGTCTGCAGCAGGTTTTTACTGTGTGTGTGTGTGTGAGAGTGTGTGTGTGTGTGTGTGTGTGTGTGTGTTGCGGTGTATTTACCTGCCGATGAGTCTGAAAAGAGGACAGGACAGACGGTACACAGAGCTGAGGTGGAGGAACAAGAGAGCGTGCAGGACCACCATGCTCTCTGCACACACACACACACACACACACACACACACACACACACACACACACACACACACACACACACACACACACACACACACACACACAGAGGGATGACAAACAACCTGAAATACTTTGACTCTTTTGTGTTCCGGGGCAGACTAAAAAAAAAGGGGGGGGGCTGAAATATCCACGTGAGGTCGTCTCTTGGTGCAGCAAATCTGCACAAACGTGTATGTTCTCAAAAGCTGTTACTGACTGTTTGAAACGAGTTGTTCTGAACCAAAACGAAACTTTCATCCAGTGCACCTTGAATTTTACAACTCGACTTAAAAGATTAAGGCTGTGTCTAAAATTATTTTAAGTAGGCTATGTAACTGACGTTTGAAAGTCAAAAGGCTCATTCCGCTTTCCTTACGAATCCTGTACGTCAGGGTTCATCAACGACATTTGTACAAGGGCCCAGACAGAAGCCCGACAGCTGACAGATGTTCAGAAGTGTCAGAGAGGGAATGTAATTTCTCCCATTCATCTAATGCAAGTTTTGCAGCCTTGTGGTTTTATTTTTAAGTTGATTGTTAAATCAGTCACAATAATGTTTATTCTGGGGGCCGGGTGGGACGCCGGGCCTGATGTGACCGACCCCGATGAGTGGTGACTCATCATGGGTTTTATTTTGTTTTTTTGTGGACATTTTTGTCTTTTCTTGGTTTCCTGTTGTCACTCGATGTACTGTAGCATTTATTGTTTGTTTTTACGTCGTCTCTAATGTCTGAGTCTGTGTTCCTGAGTGTGTTTTCTACAGGTTACGTTTCTTTTTTTCACCTGCGGCTGCTAAATGAATTTCCTCTAAGTCACAACAAAGTTAAAGTCAAAGTCCATCAACAGCCAAAAAGAGAAAAAAACTTTAACTGCTCTATAAAGTACGACCAAGAAAAACATCAGATCCTCACATTTAGAAGCATAGAGACGTTGTTTATTTGGTATTTATACTTCAGAAAATAAACAATAATAATAGATTTGAAGTGGATAATCGTTAGAAAGACTCATTTTGTGGCTCTGAAGTGAAATCTTAACAAATAATATCTGGTTTAGTTTGGAAATATTACTTTTTCTCTTGGCTTCTAAGGCTTCTGGGTAATGTAGTTCTAACCTGTAACTAATAACCAGGCAAAGAACAGAAATCAGACTACATGTTCCAGTGATATCACATTTGAGTGTTGAAATATTTTCATTACCTTTCGATCTAACTTCATGGTGCTGATGTCACCTGTAGAGTTTCAGACTCTGGTGAACAAATGTAGTCTGAGTCTGGACTTCCTGCAGAGAACCGGAGGAAGGTGTGCACTCACCTGGGAGAATACTGAGTCGACATGAAGGTACTTATTACATTTCTAAAAACCTTCTCTGGAGAGACAAGAAACAGAAGAGTCTGGTCATTCAAGTTATTTTTCTTTGAGTCTTCTTATGGAGGCTACTTTATATAAATGAAGTGAAGATGAGAACTTGCTCATGATTTAAACTTAAGATCAATCACTTCCTTTAGGACAAATGCATATTTTTTCCTGCAGCCTTTTTCAGGTGAAACTTGTATTTCCTTTTTTTCATTTCATGTAAAATCAGAAATCAGAACTTATCCCTCGGAGAACAATGAGAGCTGTTTTGTTTCACATTGTGGCCACACTGACACCTGCTGGTGAGCTCTTGTAAATGCAGCTCAGGGAAATCTGATTTAAGGTGCCATTTAATACAAAACGATCTTTAACTGCAGGTAAAAACTACAAATCAAAACATATTATAAACAACCTTCACACCCCCCCCCTCCTGTATTTTATTGCTGTTCTGTGTTTTTATTTGATCTTAGCTTTTTTTATTGCTACTATCTTTTTTTAGTTATTTACATAATCTGAAATCCTTGTTCCTCTTGGTCTTTGTTTTACTGCTGAAGCTGAATGGATAAACTCTGATATTTTGTTAAACACTGCTGGATTAAATTAGGAGCATGTAAACACACAGGGTTACCTGTTTAACCCAGCTGAATGGGTCAAATATTCAACCCACACCGTGGTTAATTGTGACGATACTGCTGGTTGAGAAATGTTCTCTGTTGTAAACAAGTATCTCTCTCAAACCGCTCCTCTTCCTGGAATGAATCGTAGTTCTATCAGCCCTCCCTCTTCTTCCTGCTCTCAAACACAGCCTGCTGCACTCGGTCCTCATACCTCCTGGTTCCCTCCCCTTTAGATCTACAGTTTGAGGATGGGTGTAACCAACAACACCTGCACAGTCACATGCACAGACACATGCTTTGTAGATCAGAGGTGAAACTTGTTATCAGTTATGAGGAAGTGAATCTCAGACAGTCGTTGTTACCGAGAGGAGAAATGGCGCAGAAAGGAGTTCAGCTGGACCGGGAAACCTTCTCTTGTTCGATCTGTCAGGATCTCCTGAAGGATCCGGTGGCTGTTCCCTGTGGACACAGTTACTGCATGAAGTGTATTAAAAGCCACTGGGATACAGAGGATGAGAAGACAGTCTACAGCTGCCCTCAGTGTAGACAGACCTTCACAGCGAGGCCTGACCTGAGGAAAAACACCATGTTGGCAGATTTAGTGGAGGAGCTGAAGAAGACTGGACTCCAAGCTGCTCCTGCTGATCACTGCTATGCTGGATCTGAAGATGTGGCCTGTGATGTCTGCACCGGGAGAAAACTGAAAGCCTGTAAGTCCTGTCTGCAGTGTCTGGCTTCTTACTGTGAGAAACACCTCCAGCCTCATTATGAAGCAGCTCCATTTAAGAAACACAAGCTAGTGGAGCCCTCCAAGAAGCTCCAGGAGAACGTCTGCTCTCGTCATGATGAGGTGATGAAAGTATTTTGTCGCACTGATCAGCAGTCTATCTGTCTCCTCTGTTTAATGGAGGAACACAAAGGTCATGACACAGTCTCAGCTGCAGCAGAAAGGAGCGAGAAGCAGAGAGAGCTGGAGGTGAGTCGACAAAACATCCAGCAGAGAATCCAGGACAGAGAGAAAGATGTGAAGCTGCTCCAACAGGAGGTGGAGGCTATCAATGGCTCCGCTGATAAAACAGTGGGGAACAGTGAGAAGATGTTCACTGAGCTGATCCGTCTCATGGAGAAAAGACGCTCTGATGTGAAGCAGCAGGTCAGATCCCAGCAGCAAACTGAAGTGAGTCGAGTCAGAGAGCTTCAGGAGAAGCTGGAGCAGGAGATCACTGAGCTGAAGAGGAGAGACGCTGAGATGAAGAAGCTGTCACACACACAGGACCACAACCAGTTTCTACACGACTACCCCTCACTGTCACCACTCAGTGAATCTACACACTCATCCAGCATCAAGATCCGTCCTCTGAGGTTCTTTGAGGACGTGACAGCGGCTGTGTCAGAAGTCAGAGATAAACTACAGGACGTCCTGAGAGAGAAATGGACAAACATCTCACAGACAGTGACTGAAGTGGATGTTTTACTGTCACAACCAGAACCAGAGTACATGACCAGAGCTGAGTTCTTAAAATATTCATGTGACATCACACTGGATCCAAACACAGTAAACACACGGCTGTTATTATCTGATGGGAACAGAAAAGTAACATTTACAGGTCAGATCTATCCTTATTCTAGTCACCCAGACAGATTCACTAGATGTTTTCAGGTCCTGAGTAAAGAGAGTCTGAGTGGACGTTGTTACTGGGAAGTCGAGCAGAGAGGAGGAGGAGGAGTTTGTGTAGCAGTCACATACAAGAATATCAGCAGAGCAGGGAGATCGAATGAGAGTGTATTTGGAGGTAATGACAAATCTTGGAGGTTAGATTGTTTCAACAGTTATAACTTTTATTACAACAATGTCTGCACTCCTGTCTCAGGTCCTCGGTCCTCCAGAGTAGGAGTGTACCTGGATCACAGAGCAGGTATTCTGTCCTTCTACAGCATCTCTAAAACCATGACTCTCCTCCACAGAGTCCAGACCACATTCACTCAGCCTCTACATGCTGGACTCGGGTT